GCAAGTGCTCGAGGGGCTCCCAGGTAGCCTCCTTATCAGGGTAACCCTTCCAACGTACGAGATACTCGACGTGGGGAGGGTTGTCGTCGGTGACTCGGCGACCAACGATGTCTGAAACGAGGAACTCCTCGTGGCCGTCCACCATGAGGGGTGGAGGGCGCTCGTATGGTCGTCCAGTGAAACGCTCAGACGGTCTGCGGTAAGGACGCAGTAACGAGACGTGGTAGACATCATGCACACAAACCTGGCGTAGGTAGTCGTGCAGCTTCACACGAAAGCTGACCGGGCTAGATGCCGTATCAGAACCGACGGCCTAGAGGATGCGGCATGGGCCAAAGAAGCGTCGCCGAAACTTGCGAAGCGTGTCCGCTTCGAGCTGTAAGTGGCGGGCGTGGATAAGCACATCATCACCGACTTTGAATGGATGGTCCATCCTCGATCGGTTTGCACGTGCTGCCATGCGAGTCTGGGAAGCGGCTATGTGCTCATGTGCGGTCTTCATAATCGACGTCATGTGTGCAACCCAATCATCCAGCGCAGGATAACTCGTGTCGGGGTGCATTTGTGACGGTCGAAGAAAGTCCGTGGGAACACGAAGGTAATAGCCGAGGTCGCAATAGTAAGGCGACATCCCCGTGGCTGGCGAGACGGCGTGGTTGTAGGCTATCTCCGCGTGGGCAAGATGAAGATCCCACTGCCGGTCGTCACGAACAATCTTTCGAAGAATATCTCTGAGATTCCTGTTCGTGATCTCGGTGTGACCAATAGTCTGAGGATGGTAAGACGAGGAGAAGCGGAGCTGAGTGCCGTATACCTCGTGGAGTCGTCGCCAGAATCGGCTGGTAAAGCGCGGGTCACGGTCAGATATGATGCTCAGAGGTAAGCCGTGGTCACACACGACTCGGTCAAACACGATGTCGGCGACCTCACGTGCACTGATGGCATAGCGGCACGGAACAAAGCGTCCACGCTTCGTGAAGCGGTCGACGACGACCAGGATAGCATCATTACCGCGAGGGGTTGGAGGACGAAGAGGACCGATAAAGTCCATCGAGATGGACTGCCAACGACCCTCAGGGATAGGAAGAGGCTGGAGCAAACCATAAGGCAGGTGGTTCGCACTGTTCACCTCCTGACAGGTGGGACACTCTGCGACGTAGTTCTTCACAAAGTCCTTGCGCTTCGGCCAGACGTAGAGGCGGCTCACACGAGCCAACGTCTTGTGGAAGCCCATATGACCGACAACTGCCTGGTTATGGAACTCTGCTACTGCTTGGACACATAGCTGTCCAGTGGAGGGAACGCAAATACGGGGCTCTCTGGTGCCCTGTGAACCGTGCCAGTACACGAGACCGTTGTCCCTGAGAGAGTAGTTCGGGACGGTCTTGCCACTCCGAAGGGTCGCGTGGATGTCGCGATAGTCGGGGCAGTGGCGGTACTGAGTGCGAAACTCGTCGATCACCGAGTGGTGGACGGTGGTGACCGAGACGGAAGAGAGCTGGATTTGCTCCTGGTCGTGGTCAGGGTGCCGAGATAGGGCATCTGCGACCCGATTAGTCTCACCCTTGATGTGCTCAGTGGTGAAAGTAAACTCGGATAGGTCGCGCCACCAGCGAGCCTGTCGAGGAGTGAGCTTCGGCTTAGTCAGAAAAGCTTGGACAATAGAGTTGTCCGTGCGCACCGTGAATGGTGCCCCGTGCAGGTAGTGCCGCCAGTGACGAGCGGCATAAACTACTGCGAGAACCTCACGTTCATCAGCTGTGTAGTTTATCTCGGCGGGCAGGAGCTGACGGGAGTAGAAGGCTATCGGACAATCACCTGAGCGAGACTCGACAGTGCTGTCCTCGGCGATGGTAGGAGAATAGTCAATAGAGGGCTCGTCAGTAGCTGGACGAGTAGGCGTCACTCGGGAAGCAGTGGTAGGGGTAGGTGGTGGGAAGCGAGGGATACGAGGATGAAAGGAATCAGGAGAGGAGGGGAAGACCTGAGAAAGCACTGCTC